GGATGTGGCCATAGGAGCCGCCATGGGGGCGGTAGCGGCTGCCGTTGTACTCGATGTGCTTCAGCCACTGGATGTGAGGCTGAGCATCGCTGTAGACCTTACAGTGGAACTCCACGTCGCTGCCCACCACCACTGTCTGATTTGCCGGAAGCCCGGCCTGCAGAATGGGCCTGTGGGGAGAGCGTTCTGAGACAAAGAACAGAAGCTTAGTTCACACTGGTCCTGCAGGGGAATCAAATACTGTACAGAAAATATGTTCAGAAATACAAAAAAAAAAATCCAATGAATAATGAATGTTAAAGGAACAGAGACAGTGATGAGGCAAAGTTTGGACAATCAAAGTGGATCAGCGGGTAGTGCAATTGCCAAACTTTAGCAGGGTCAATTCCAGATTTACAGTTATATATATTACCAAGCAACTATTTACCAGTTGTAAATAAACTTTTGATATGAATGATGCCCCCTGGAGGGGAGATGGAAAATAAAAACTTTGCAAATGTATAAAATGTTTTGTTAGAAAGTGTGTTCAGCACATGGTTAAATGGTCAGAGGATCAGGACTATTATTACATTTGACAGTGTTGTATATATGTTGTATATATGTTGTGTATATGCGCCTATATTTGTACAACGACTGAGAAAGCTGATTCTGTTCTTTTCTTACCGAGCACATCCAGCTGGTAGGTGTGGGTGATGGTGCCGTACTTGTTCTGGACCACACAGGTGTAGTTTCCTCTGTCTGATGGTACTGCACTCTCCATCACCAGGCTCCACTGCTGGTGTCGAAGCTGTGGACAAGAGAGGGACAAGAGAGGGACAAGAGAGGGACAAGAGAGGGACAAGAGAGGGACAAGAGAGGGACAAGCAAAGAGGAGTCATTAGAGTTTTGTTTTAACTTCAGTAACACCAGGAATACCAGGTCCCAGGAACTGGAGACAGTAGCAGGAAAAGACAAAAGGACCGTCAGCTTCAGTGGACTTAAATCAGAGCCTCCTTTTCCCGTCCTGGGGTCCAGGTGAGACCAGATGTGGCAAAGACTTTTAATTTGAAAGGTAAAGAGCCTAACACCAGCGTTGATGCAGTGACGTTTCTCTATTTCTGCTCTGATCATTTTATTCTGCTCCTCTGAAACCAGCCCCACTGTGTGTCACCAACAATCAACCTTCCTGGGAGGAGAGTCAAGTGGAGTAATTCAAACCAGGTGGAGGAGGCAGACAGAGAAAGAGGGAGAGGGGTGAGAGTGAAAGACAGACAGACAGAGAGAGAGAGAGAGAGAGAAACCCACACAGACATAAAAGTGAGAACAGAGAAAACGCAGTGCACATCCACAGACTGACTACACAGGGCGACGCTGATGACCTGAGACCTTCAAGTGGAAACGCTGCTGCTGCTGCTGCTGCTGCTGACGGAGGTGCTCAAGGTGGTGAACTCCTCTGAAGGAGGTCAGCCTCCACAGAGGGAGTGATGTCAACAAGGAGACTTTTCAGGGTGGAACACTCATCAACATCAGACCGTAGGAAAATGAGCCGACCCACAGAAAGAGGGTCGAGTGTTTTCACCAGGGTTTGACCCCACGTGTTCACGGAGCGGGCCAGAGCTCCACACAATGTATATATTTGTAGGTTCAGAATCTGTCTCCACCTCCACCTCCTCCTGCTTCTCCTCCCCTGTCCTACACTCCTTCATTCTCTCTCTCTTGGAGGCGAGGATGGAAAATAATTCAGCAGTATAAATATTATGCCTGTGTGTGCTTTTCACAGTTGCGTGGTAACACAGACCAGGCTGCCCAGCTCAGGGCTGGATGGCAAATGGTTTTTCACCGCTGGCTCCACCCCGTCTCTGACCCCCTCCTTCATCACCGCCACCTCCTCTCAGAGTCAAACTCAAGTCAATGGTCGCTCTCATGAGCAGATGAGTAACGCCTTGTGCTGCGGTCGACGCTCTGCTAAGAGGAGGAGGGGAGTAAATGCAAACACGAGGAGCAGAGCTAAAAGAAGGTTAAAAAAATCTGAGACCACCAACAGAAACCGAGAGATTGTGTGAGCAGACTGATGCATCTCATCTTCATCTCAGAGAAAATCGGAGTACTCGCTGCTTCGGGGTTTTTAAGTAAACACTGTGTCAGGAACACAGCCTTCTTCCCTGGCCACGCTACCTTCAGGTTTAGGAGAAATATTCACTGACTTCACACTGGGTGACGTTGGTGAAGACGCAGGTACTTTTTTCCAAAGAGTCTGTGCCGTAAAAAGTCGGCCGCCAAAAATGTACCTCCATCACGTTCTGTTGGTGGGAGGACGTTTTCGACAGCTGCTCAGAAAATAAGACCGTGGAGGTTTCATTCATTCTTTTGTGAACTTGGTCCATGTATCAAAAAAGTCAAATAAAACTTTAAATAATGAACACCCATCAGGTTAAAGAAACAGCGACATTATGTTGTTTTCTATGAGATGCTTCAAATAATGAATACAGTCAGAATTTTTTTTTTTCTTTGATTAGAAAAAGCAACAGTGGATAAATGTCGCTAATGTAATAAAAACAATTATTTTTTAAACATGTTTATAATGTACTGACCCATAATTGAAAAAGTACTTCATATTTTTGGTTAATATTGAATACAGCTTTATAAACCATCAATAACTCTGACTGATTCAATTTCAGGAAATTCCTCTAAACTCTTGTGATTGACATTTGTAATTCACGTCTCAGTCGTTTTAATTATTTTCTGCCCGCGTGTCGATAGCTTGCTCCGCGACCGCGTGGTTCTGGGTAAACCCGGCTGGAACCTGCAGCTTTACAGCAGAAACATGATAATCCCGGCCATTCCGACGGTGCCAGATTCCAAACAGAATTAAATGATTAAGGAGCTCTGACATCAGAGTCACAGGAGGCTTTAAATGTTTTCACGGTCTTGGTCGTGGTCGTGCAGAAGGACAGCAGGTCTGGGAGTGGACTCTGAGGTTCACACCCACAGATGAACACTGCTGAGCCTGAAATGATGAAAGAGTGGCTTTGGACTGGACTCACAGTTTGGTCGGTTGTAAATATCTTAGGACAAACGGAGTGATTTTTGGATAAATCTGCCTCCCTTTAGACGCTGCCAAGAAAAACATCTCAGAAACCTCGGCCGGTCGCTGTGTTCCCTTCTTTTTAATCATAAAAGATTAAAACCTCTGACACACAGGAAGTTCTGTGCTTTACGGTCCAAACCCTCAGTTTGCTACAGGACACAAATAGCTCTGTCAGAACCAGTGTGGGTCAGGGCTGGAATTAATGGCCGTGTCAGAGCAGAGTGGTGGACTGGATCAGAACCACCTCTAATTTGACCCAGAGGGGAGCAGCAGCAGCAGCACAGAGAACTAGAAAAATAGTCGGTCGACAGAAAGGGTTTGGTCCTGGAACCACCTCTAGGCCAACAGGATATATTAAGAAATAGGCCTACGTGTGTATTTACAGATATTTTCTTTGGTTTAACAGAAGTTGTATGTACAACTTGTGTTCACTGGGACAGAGGGCAGAAACCACATCTAAATTTATTCTCTTGAACTCATTAAAAACCAGAAAAAGAACAAGGCTGAAAATATGGGCGACGGGAGTCACTGTAGACGCCTGACTGAAACATAACATCTGTGTTCACTGCAGGCACCAGACCTGAACATGTGATGGCCTCACTTCACATGTTTACGACAAAAGTGTTGGCCAAAAGTTTGCTAAATAAATATCTTAAATTCAGCCGATAAAATGCAGTAACGTCAGCTCAGGTCAACCAGCTAAAAGTTAGCTTAAAGGCAGGCAGGAGTCGAACAAAAAAATATTTTTCCCCAACATTGGGAAACAGTTTAGAATCAGTTAAAACAGTTATAAATATTTTTATTAATATTTTTTATTTTTATTTGTTCTTTAATCAGCCACACGGCTGAACATCAAGTCTGGGACATGACGTCATCCCTTTTTTTTTGTTACCAAAATACCATCCCATATCTTTGAGCTCTGTTATTTGAATGACCTCTTCTCCTGCCTGTGTTCGTCCTCTGCTGTTTGGCAGAGAAAATCTGTCACAGATGGTTGATGCACATTCTGAAGGTGAGGGAATCACCACCACGCTGTTCTCATACTGATTCTGTTGGCTGTGGTTCCCTTCCTCTTCTGTCTTCTGTCCCCATCTTTCCCCTCTCCTCCATCAGTGTGATTAAAGCCCACGTCCGTGTCTCACATCAACTTCCTTAAAAAGGAGCTTCGACAAAGATGCCGTCCATTCACAAACGTGTCATTTCCTGTCTGTGTCGCGTCAGTGTTGGCCCCGTCAAACACTGGTTTAACATGCAGTTCAGCCGCTAAATGGCTGTGTCTTCAGGAACCCAGCTTTTCCTCTAAGTGCTGTAATCTGGAGTCCCACGGCTATAACTCTGCGAGAGAACCTGTAGCTGACGAGACAACATGAATCTGCTCACGCTCCAGAGAGTCAAATGTGATTTTTATGCTCACGCTCCAGAGACTCAAATGTGATTTTTATATTTTTTTTTGAAAACGTGGTGTTTAAGTGGCCGTGCCTCAGGAACAAAGAGCAGGACGGAGCCTTTGGCTTCCACAGCTCTGCAGTGTGAGGACAGCTGGAGTGTAGGTGAGCTGCTAATGGACTCACTGCTGTCCACTCACACCTCCACAGGTCTGCAGCCACTTTACACACTCACACACAGTCACTCCTGTGTCACCGACACACACACACACAGCGACCATATCATCGCCATCGTCCTCCGTCCAAACATTTTACACGTCTGACACACTCTCCCTTCTTTCTGCTCACATTAACCACGGCTGTCCAATCAAAAGTCATCTTGTCATTTCAGCCTGGATATGAGGCCAGTGCAGCCATTGTCAGGCTGTCAGGGCCCCGGGGCTTCACCCACCCTCCCTGCTATTCCCCCACCTCTGCTGGGTGAACCATCACAGATGGAGATGTGAGGAGTGTGAGGTGTAGGAGAGAGAGAGTGTTACACACTGCAACATTGATTTAAATTAGCAGAGAAGTGACTGACCATTGGCTGAAAGTTATTTAAAGGTTTGTCTAATAAACTGATCACGAAACCAGCGTTAGCCTAAAGAAGCCTGAACACCCGATGAGCTGCTGCTCACATTTACCACGGCTGTCAAATCAAAAATGAAATCTCTGTCTCTGTCGGACATGGCAGGAAGAAGTCTTCACCTTGAGGGCCCCCGAGGGCCAATAGAGTCTTTAGAAGGCCATTGTCAGGCTGTCAGGGCCCGGGGCCTCACCCCCTCCCTCACCCGCACACCCTTCTACCCCCGGCCTCTGCTGGATAACCCATCACAGATGGAGATGTGAGGAGGTGAAGGAGGGAGGAGACGAGAAGGGAGGAGGCTGAACAGACTGGAGGGAAGTGTCTGTACTGACAACAGTTGTCTGTCTCCATCGTGACAATCGTTCTCTCTGATGACATCCATGATGTCCATGATGTTTATATCAAATATTTGTAAAGAAGAAATGAAAATTCCCGCATGTTGGATCTTTGTATCTCTGTATGACTCTTATAAATAAAGAAAATTCCCGCATGTTGGATCTTTGTATGTATGACTCTTATAAATATATGGATAAACATATGGAACATTAACATTTGTGTTCTTAAACTTTGACTGGATGTCCGTTCAATTTCTATTAAAAAGACTTTGACTATTGTTCTAAATGTAGATATTTGATAAATAAAATTAATTACAAATTTAAAAATAAGATTTCTCACCACTGATTTGATCATCACAGATTGATAACTCAACG